TCCAGGAAGAACTGGTGGTGGTGGTGGCGGAACCTGAAAAACCCCTGGAACCTGCTGAACTAGCGGAACATGTGGAATCTGCTGATCTGACTGAACATGATTCTGCTGATCTTGCTGAATCTGAACCGGTGCGGCCTGCTGCACCTGAATCTGTGGACCATTCTGCACCTGAACTTGAGGTCCACGTGGTCCCTGCTGAGCTGCAGCTAACTGTCGAGCAACCTCCTGAGCCGCTGCCTGGGTAGCCTGTCTAGCTGCCTCTTGAGCAACTTGCTGAACTGCCTGCTGAGCGGCCTGCTGAGCAGCCTGTCGAGCTGCATCCTGCACCATCTGCCTCAAAGCATCCTGATCAACTGGTGGAACCGGAATCTGTGGAATTACAGGTGGCACCTGCTCATCTCCAACCTCCTGAGCAGTCCTGGCAGTCTGGGAACGAACAACTCTCGCAGTCTGAGGACGACCAACACTCTTTCTCGGCGGCATCTGAAAGGAAGAAATTCAAAATGGTCAACTTCTGCTGAAACCTGATGCTGACATTCCTAAAAAGAATAATATTAACAGAAAGGTGCTACTTGTTTTTATTTTAAAAATCACCAATTTTCCCCAAAAATCATTTTTAAAAATCAATTTATAAATCCGATAAAACCAGGTCCTCACAGATCGCCATCCCGGGTCGGAGCCGGGACGGAACCCGCTCTGATACCAAATTGTAACACCCGCATTTTCCAAAATGATAAAATAAATAAAAATGTTTGAAATCTCCATTTATTAAATCGCATAAATCATCTCCAAACTCCATAAATCCAAATAACATAATAAATCTCAAAATAACGATAAAAATAAGTCTGAAAATAAATAAAATAAACTCCCAAAAGCACCAGTCCGAAAAGATCACACTCGATCGTCAGTATCACCTGAAAGGGGAAAGAATGAGAGGTGAGTAACAGGGGAGTCACTCAATGAGGTATGGAATGCTAAACACGCAAAACACCGACTAAGAAAATAGAACTCCCACTATGGAAGTTTAGCTCTAACATGAACAAACATAATGCCTAACGCATCACACAAAACAACCAATGCGCTCATAGTGTATAGCTAACCCACACACCCCGCATTCTCCTCATACGGATATACGATATCATAATATGCGTTGATAGTCCAGACATCTCTGAACCCCCGCACTCCACCACTATGCGTCGATATGCAAACGTCTCTGCACCCCGCACCACACAAATATGCGTCGCTAGCCCAAACGTCTTTGAGCCCCCGCACTCCAATATGCGTCGATAGCCCGGATGTCTCCGAACCCCCGCACTCATATACGTCGATAGCACAGATTTCTCTGGCCCCCGTACTCATATACGTTGATAGCTCAGATTTCTCTGGCCCCCGT